GTAAGGACAGAATAACCCTACTTGTGGAAGCAAACATGGACGGCACTGAGAAATTACTGTCACTGATGATTGGAAAATCAGGAAATCCAAGGTGTTTTAAAATTGTCAAAACAAAGCCTATAGAATACCGTTCTAACACGAAAGCATGGATGACGGCGAATCTTTTTGAAGAGTGACTGCTAGATTACAATCACACTCACCAAAGAAAAAACAGAAAAATCATCATGTTTATTGAAAACTGCATGGTTCATAAATCGATACCCACTATGGAAAATGTCCCCGTTGTTTTTTCCCACCATACACGATCTCAGTGGTGCAACCAATGGATCAAGGCATCATTAAAATTCTGAAGCATTTCTACAGTCTTTCAACATCTCCTTACTGAATCTTCCCAAAAGCTTCCCATTACCCTCCTCGAAAAATCAAGAATGTTTTTAAATGCATGGTCCAAGGTGAGCCGAAAAACAGTAACAAATTGTTTCTGGAAGGCAGGATTCATCAGGGAGCACTGTCTCTGGCAATCGTTTTTATGAAGAAAATTTATATCCCCCAATTGCATGGGAAGACAGCATACCGTTTGATGATTGCATCAACATGGATGAAAACATAGAGATTTGTGGAGAGCTATCCGATACAGATATTCTATTCGAAATTCAAAACAATAAGGGCATTGCAACAGAAGATGAAGAAGATATTGACGATGAGGTAGAAGAACAGAGGTCGATTCCAGCTTCAAGTGAGGCAGTTTTTGATCTAGCTGAATATCATCGATATGTAGAAGAACAATCTAATGTGAGTGAGGCTTTTGTTCTTGAAGATTTTGTTTAAAAATTCAAGTAATCTCTGTAAAGCAATCTGAAATATCTCAATATTTTAAAAAGCTGCAGTGCTTTGATTTAAAATTTATAGACATACTTTATTTCGCAATTTCTGTTGCAATTGATTATTTTACGACATAAAAATAAAATTTCCTTGACAATGCGAAGTTTTGCAGTGGCCTCATGCCCTTCGAATTGTCCAAGTTCGACTGTACTAAATAAGTCTTTTATTTTTCCCGTTTATCAAACTGATTTTCAACCTTCCTTTTTCGGTAGTGTGTTGCCAAGAAATTTTAGGAATTTTACTTTAATCAATGTTATTTTGTGAATTTTAGCCATACATGTTGTTTATAAATCTTTTCTTTTTGAAACCAAAATATTCCTTGAATGATATCACACATAATAGTTAAAAATATTCAATTTAGCTAACAACGTTCTTGTTTACAGCAAATACTTTTCTCGGAAACCGATGTAAATATTAAAGGGAAATTTATAAATTAAATTAATATAATGTAAAAATAGGAGTGACTTATGCTTTTAAATTTGGTAATTAAATAATTGAATTGAAATTATCATTAAAATTAATCTCAACTTTATTGTTTAAATTAATTATAAATTTATTTGAATCAATTAAAAATTAATTTAAACTGTAATGTTTAAATTTCATGTTTTGGTGTACGTAGTTATACTGTAATTTATATTTTCAAAACAATCTTCCATGAAAAAACGTAGGCAGTAATCATGTAGATTTATTTAATATATGTATTAAATATTTTGATATGAATGATTAATTGAAATTAACCAGCTTCAAATAGCGTTTATAGGATTTAAGATTTATGATCATCATAAAATTGAGCTTCTTACCTTTTTCCTAAATTTAAAATTCAATAACTATACTATTAGGGGGACCGGAAAGTAATGTCGTTTCGGCGCATTAAATGTTGGTTAGTCTTAAAAACCAATTCATTTTTTTTCGATCCAGCGTTGAAAATGTCTTGCTAATGACTGTGAGTACATTATTGATTAAAAAGAAAATCTTGATACCAAATACCAAAATCAAATACCAAAACGTCGTTACTTTCCAGTCCCCCTAATATTTCAGTAACTATAAATTATAACAAAATCCTAAATATATACCGTGAAATATCCAATGTCTTATTGTGAATATAAACAACGGCAGAAAAAGAAATTAATAACTAAAATTTTTTTTTGAGAAATGTTGGCAATCATAGTCCAGTAATATATGTTTATATATAAAAGGATAAATATTTTACATTATTAAGGATTGCATGGACTAAGGCCAAAAATTCCATTTAGTGTGTTGCTTGGGGATGCTCTGCTTCTCATAACCGTTTAGCTGCTGCTGTCTAGTAATTGTATGGATTCTACTATAGGCTCAAATGCTCCGCTAATCCCGTTGCCTTGATTTCATTTTTACCTTGATATTTCAAGAAAGAGCTATATTCAAAAACATCATTGTGTTCGAATATGTTAGAAACATTCAAAAGTCCCCAATAAATAAAACTTTTTTTCAATTTTTGGATGTTGATATACATTCATTTAAAAAGGTGCAAAATCTTTCAAAAGTTCCATCTAAAAATCGCGCTGTATTCAAAACAAAGACCATTTTGAAATATGGATAGTTTCATTTAAATTTTTATTGTAATCAAATTAAAGTAGAAATATATTAGACAGATGCTTATGCACACTCCGTACAGTGTGTTAAATGTAAATATGGTTAAAAATTAAAATCAAAAGCATTTTTCAAAATGGGATCGCATACTACAATTATTAATTACTGATCCCGAGTGTCAGTTGCCACTCAAAATATTCTTTTTGTACCAAGGAATTTCAGAGGCAAAAAAACTATCTGTTTTTTTTATTTGGAAAATATTTAAAATTCTTAAAAGAAAAATGATTTGATTTAAAAAAACTGCTTGTTCCTGATGAATAAGCAAGAAAATTTGCGTGAAGAGATCACTTTAAAAGTACTTAAAAAACCACCTGTCAGCCCCAAATAATGTCCCAATGACACCAATCACAGTTTTCTAAAAATTAAAACGTTTTTTTAAGGAGAATATTTAGAATTGAAAAAAATAAAAACACCATTCCATTCAATTATATGTTCTATATATTTTATAGTAATAGTCCTATTTGTTTTTTATGAAAATTTCACAACTGCTATAAAATGTGCGTAATTATTTTATGTAAAATTGTCCCAATAAAATAATTTCAATAAATAAATAATAATAACCAAAGTAGTATAGAAATAGTTATAGTTATAGCTTAACTAAACAAAAAATAAGTAATTTTCTATGATTACTCTTTTGTTTGCAATTAAGATAAGCAAAAGAATTGAATTCCTTTCGCTTTTTAACAAATTCATAACAAAATAAGATAGAAGTTAATATTTTAGGATTAAATTAATTTATTCTCTTACATTCAGTTTTACGATTTTACTCATTTTCTTTCAAATTTTTTATTATTTTTCTTCAAATTAAATTATTATTCATTACGAATACTTTGTGTAATTTTTGTGCAAAACATGAAAAATAAAAATTTCTTAATTTTTTTAACAAAATTATTTCGTAATTTTTGATTTTAAAATAATTTTCAAAAACACATTTCTGTAATAATTACGTATATCATTTACTTTTACATATAATTGATGCATTCATATTTAACACTAAACAACAAGCTTTTTTTCAATCATTTCTTTAGAAAAATGCATGGAACACAAAATAAAAACGTGAACATCCTGAATAAATTTTGATCTAATAATCAGATGTTTGCGTACTAGGACTCAACTTTTTGTCCGAATCCCTAATTAATATGCTAATCCTTAATATGCTAATTTTATTTAGAGCAGAAGATATTTTAAATAAAAAATTAAATGCATGGACACATTTTCTATTCATTAATGCACAAAATGCATTATAATTAAATTCATAAATTTTAAAATTTACAAAATTCAAGCAAATTATTGGAAGAAAACTTTCCCTCAGCGTAAATCTAAGTAATTCTCTCAGATCTTTTTAAATAATTTGAAATTTTGTTCAGCATTTGAAACTTCATAATTTACTTTGGATTTACTTAAATACAGTTTCTATATAGTTTAAATGTTTAATTACCCGTAATTTAGAATTACCCGTAAAGTATTTCGCCCATGGTTTAGCGTCTTCTTAACGTTAATTACACACATTTGAGTCGTTCATTTTGTCTTAGCAACTTTTGAAGCACATTGAAATTTTTTTGCACACGATAATAATCATCGTTTACCCCCCAAAGATGAAAATAATTTTGGATACTAATTTGTAACTTTTTATGAAATTGTTTTACTATTGTAGAAAAATTTGAACTGCTAGGTACATGTTGACTGCTAGGTCACCATTTTGCCGTATGCTAAAATATAAAGGAGGTCAACCAACATTTGATTTCTCGAAAACTTTTTGATTGATTCGATACCATTCTTGCATTTTGTTATTTAAAATTGCATGCTTAAAATGATGTGAAATGATGTGAACATTTATATACCATGCAACTCAACGTGTGATAAAATATTGTTGAAAATTTAATGAAAATAATAATATTAAAAATCATTTTATACATAGAATTGTCTTTCGATAAACGAATTTTACAATTGTGAGCAGATGTTTTTCTTCGGTTCTCTTAAAAGGTTCACGATATATAGCAAACGACGCAAAATATGAAATTAAGATGTAAAATGATCTTGTGACTAACTCTTGGAACCATATAGTCGAAATCACTGTTACGCCTCCTGTTTTGATGCTGAAAAATCAGAATTAGACGATAGTTAACATATGTCAGACTTCGTAACTTAGAGTATCGTCCTAATTATTAATTAGCATATTTAAAGTTAAGCCTTCGAACTATTGAGATTGAGTATTAGTAACTGAAAATCCGAACATCAGTTATTTAGGTATTCACTTTTTTTCTTTTTCATACGGAACACTATTTCAAAATACTTGTTTTAATTATTAATATGCACGTTGATATATAAGTATTAATATATACGTTGATATATTATAATTCGAGATATTTTTTTTAATTCTCAATTCAAATAAATCTCACACTTTGAGTGCAGTATTTTATTAAGAAATATATTCAAATTTGTAAAAAAATGTTATTCACAAATGAGCAAAACATATTTTACATATTTATGTACAATTTGCAATTATTAGTTATTAATGATATTTGACAACTGCAGTAAATGCTGCTACTGTCCCAGTGTTGATGCATCAGCTACAATTTGTGTAGAGAACAGTTGTCAAGTAATAAGGCAATATCTCCGAGGTTTTGAAAATAGGTCTGTCGTATTCTAATGTCGAATATCATTTTTCTAATATGCAAACCTAGAAGAAATATTTCGAACAATTCAAAAATTATATAACTTTGATTAAATATAGAATACAACAAGAAATCATTATTATAAACCTGTATATAGTAAATAGGCATTCATATTACCATCCAACATCATACAATAAAGTTGGTTTCAATATACCTGTATTTTTCTTTCTATTTTAGAAAAATGTTAAATCAAGAAAGTGAAACTTATATAATATCAGAAAATATTTTTTTTTAATGTTGTTAAGTATATAATGAATAATCACATTTCTACACGAAGAAAAAAATTCTGATAAAATAACCAGAATGCATTTCTGGTAAAAAAAATCATAATTCTAACTAATGAAAACAAAACATATGGTATTTATTGCTCTGTTTATAAGGTAATGGTGAACCAAAATTCAGATTTTCTGAATTAAAGCACTTATAACCACCCATTTAGTAAAATATATAAGACTGAAAAGTAATATTAAACGAATAAATGATTTTTATGCCATGCTCTAAAGAATATGATAAAGTATATAATTGTGAAACATTTATCAAATTTTATTACACACTATAAAACCATATTTTATTGTCAATTTTATAAAAATCATTACCAAACCACTTCGATGAAAATTACTGAGATTTTTAGTGTTTTCGTAGAAACAGAAACGTGATACTTTTTAACTTATTTTGCAGTTTTGATTATACTTTTTTTTCTCAGTGTAACTATAGAGTATCTGTTTACCATAATCTAGCAAGGATATTTCTTTTACTAATAGTAAACTAATAAGATTTATTACAACAAATAAACACATGTAATACATTTTATTATTCTAACAATAAAACAAAATTGTGTTTATTGTTTATTTAAAAAATAATAGAAAAGTTTCAACAAATTCAATTCTATAACTTAACAACTGCAAAATAAGAAAAATAAGACTTGCTGATAAATCTTTAATTGGGTAAGGGAATAGATATCGGAATAAGATGTGAAACGAAACTTGGAACCTTCTGACATGAAGTAATGGAACATTTTGAAGCAAATGAACATGACATTTACATTTATTTGATGAAGCGTCTTTACTCATGAAAATAAATATTAATTAAAAAAACAATTAAACATTGAAAAACAATTAAACATTGAGAATATTTTAAATGATTCTCTTTAATTAATAATGCCACGTTACGCAGTTTATGCATCACGACACATAATGTATTATAATCCGCGTTACCTATAGACCACGCTTTGAAACAAAATGTTATACTACATTTTAATTAGTACACTGAGGAAAACCATGTTTCTGGATTCACCGTGTTTCTGTTTTTATAGGAACACAAAAAATCCCAGCAATTTAAGTGCTTTGGTAATAATTTATATATAATTAACTATAAAGTATGCTGTTTAATTTGGTAATTTATTTTGGTCCTTAGAACATGGCATGAAAACTATTTATTCGGTTTTCTTTTTGATATTGCATTTTTCCCTAAATATGTAGCAATAAAAACTGTAATTTTTAAACTCAGTATTTTCAGTAAACCATTACCACAACAGCGGAAAAAACTACCAAATGAATGGTTTAAATGCAGTATATTTTGAATTTATTAAGCAGAATTATGTTTTCTTCTGACAAAAAGTATCATTACTATGAAGTATGATAGTTTCACGAGCATTTTTTTCCGTGTATGTTAATGATATTTTATTCAGCGAAATCTTACAAATGCTATCGAATTTATCATTAATTTGTAAAACAAAAATGTAAATCATTCCTGCAAATTGTGGGCAAGAGAGTCATGGAAGTTGAAGCACTCATTTTCCTGACTAATGGCATGACTGGTGCAATCTGGTAGGGCTTATTCATGCCCCCACTGGGAATCAAATCCCAGTTTTTCCCAAAGGCAGTTCAGGCATTCGCAACTGAGTCATTGTGGCTAAATATGCTTAATAACCAAGGTTAGAGTTAATAATTTGAAGATGCAGTTAATAAAAAGTTACACACAGTCCAATACGAAATACGCAATGCATGAGATTAAATCAACACAAACATTTTAAAAATTATCTTAAATTAAAAACTTATGTACTTGTGCAACTATTTGTTTTTATTTCATGTATTTCTAGTCGTTCATGTTTTCAAGCATCATAAAACATATTTTTTCTTATGCTAATGCAAACTCTATGTATATTTGAATTCACAATTTCCGAGAAAAATAACTCAGGTCACATCCAATAGCACTCAAAATCAAGCACATTCTCTGACCTTTCTTCCAACAGAAATGGAATAAAATTTATATCTGAAATCATTTCTCTCCTCTCAACTAGGAAATTGAAATCAGAGTAATGGTCCATGTAAGGGGAATATCGATCAAAAATTTTCGAAGTTATTATTCAAGTGGAAAAACAGAGATTTCACTTGGAATAAATTGCAATAATATCTGAAGAAGTTGGATATAAGTCGGAAAATATGTTTATCTATCTTTTGAATAGTTAAGGCATTTTTCAAATAATTTGAATGCAATACAAAACGTACATATTGAGCAGTGTCAAGCTTTTAAGGAAATTTATCTTCTTTAATCATAGTTATTTATGCACTATACAATACAGACATTTACAAATTTACATGGATCCGTGCTATTTGCTGTCTGTCTGAAAATATTTTTTTTTGTCTTGAAGCTGGTGGAAGCTTTGTATATGAATTTTCGATGTAACTAAAAAGTAGACACTTTTAAGAAAGTAAAATATATATTATAAGATCTTTTTTGTGAAAATAATAATATTTTAAAGAAATTATATGAAAAGAAAATTGAAGTGCAGCTGACGAAAACATTATACCTGAAATCATTTTCACAGAATAACTTTACAGAAACATATTTCATAATTATGTTAAATATTCTAAATTACATTTAAATTTTAAAAAGTCAGATAAAATATATTAAGAAATAAACACGTTTTTACACAAAAAATCATCACTGTACAGAAATCAATGTCATGTCTCTAACTTATGCAGTTAATATTCATATTTTTAACTACATAATTAAAAATATGAATGTCAACACTCATTTATCAGCGAAGGTTGTATAGAAAAACCTTGCTAATAGCTATTCCGAATGTTCTATGCTTGGCTGATGAAGCTGTACCTCTTTTTTAGTAAATATATTTTTACTATCTCATGTCTTCTACCATAATTGCTGGTATGAGAAATCTTATGTATTTAATTACCTCTGCATAATTTATCTGATTAGGATTTAAATTTATAGAGATTTAGTATATTTAGAACTGTTTAGAAATCTGGAAATCTGAATTCTTTTCATTATTTTGTATTAATCTAGATAAAAATAAGAGAGAAATATTATATAAAAAATTTGTAATAATTGATGGTAGGAAATACGGCATGAAGTACCGGTGTCTTTTTTCTGCTTTAACGGTAAAATCTTCCAAACACGGCTCACTACCAAGCAATAATTTTTCTAATTTGCACTTAATTGCAGTTTTTTGGACATAATAAAAAAAATTTTCAAAGAGGAAATTTCTTTAATATACAAAATCAATTACTGATAAATTTTTGAATACGAAAAAAAAAATTCCAATTATTTTGTTCGGATTTTAGATAATATAACAGATTTTTTTTAGTATTATTTAGACTGATTTTTATCGTTAAATACCAAAATATATTTTTTCTTGCAATTAGAGCGTCAGAAAAAGTATATGTAAAACCCTCACCACAGTCCCATCTTCAGCAAAGTGTTTAAATGTCATCTCTATTACCCAATCTGGTAACAAAGTTGTCTTATATGTAACATGCACGGTATTTTCCCAATCTTTTCTTTTTAAACTTTCTGCTTAAATAAGAATAATATTCTTAAATTTGCATCAACCGTAGGATATATGAAAATAACAGAGTTTAAGAAAGCAGGCATAAGAAATTTTACATATCTGCAAGAAAAGTATCAACTTCAATTAGAAAGTAGCATTAATTTATCTGAAAAACATTTAAATAGTATGGAAGAACCAAGCTACAAAACAAAACAGGTGGTTTATTTAAATAATTACTTAAATTTTCAACGGTTTTTCTTGCTTAATGAAATATGCGTGTTTTCTATGCTTGTAAAAAATAGTCAATAATTCAAAATTCAAAAATTAATAATGGTAATTATCAAATTGGAGCCGTGGTGGCTCAGGGGATAGAGCGCTTGCTTTCCTATGAACGGAACCAGACTCAAATCCCAACAATGGTTGATTGAATTCGAATTCGCACCCGGATCTCTAACAGTGCTGACGAAAAATATCCTCCGTGGTTGACGGATCACGGGTTAAAGTCTCCTTGCCATCAGGTTAACCGTGGGAGGGTTTCCTGGATTCCCTCTCCATGTAATGCAAATGTGAGTTAGTTCCATCAAAAATTCCTCCTCGAAGGTAAATTCCTGCCAATACTTGATCCAGGAGTCCCCTTGTCTTCTGGAGTGGGTTAAAAATGACAAGGCTATATGGAGTTGAGCATTAGTAGTCATAAATCAAAAATTGAGTGGGTTGTCCAACGACGGTAAGAAAGTAATATGAAAATTATCAGTTTGAAATTATTGTTACTGAACCAAATCATAATAGAGAGGAATTTTAACAAAATTGCTATATTCAATAAAAGAAACACTTTATTTATTGGAATAGGTGAAAAAGTGAATTAAATATAAAAATAAAATATAGAAAAAAATAATACTGTTTATATGCAGCGTAGTGCGTAATAACAATTAGTAACAAACTTTAATTTGTTTTCAGTTGTGTGAGATTTGTTAACGGATCTTACATATTCTCCCATAACTGGTTTCAAATCTGCAATCTATATCTCTGACTCCAAGATACAGTTTTTTAAACTACATTTTTGGTCTATTTTGTGTCGAAATGCGCAAGTTCAAAAAAGTTATTTATAACAAGATATCAAATAAATTTTGCGACAATTTTTTAGGGAGTTACTACAAACCATCAGAATTAAAATTGCATAGTAATCCATGCCCGGAAACGTCATTCTGCTCCACTAGGGGCGAATCCCTGCATGAACTGTTATTTCGAGAGTTTCTGACTAGGTCATAAGTGATGCGCTCTTAGCTGCGTACGATGACATTGTTGGACACGGGTTTCTATACAATTTTAATCCCTATGACATGCCCTAACACTACTTGAAGTTTGTATCATTTTATATTATAAGTTATCGCAACAACCCTTTTCACGTGTAACTTTTTAAACTTGTATATTTCGATGAAAAATAGACTACAAATGCCATTTTGAAAATTTGTAGCTAAACTAAATTCAGATTTGAAATCACCAGATTCGAATTCATCAATATCAAGTATTTGTATAAATGCGAAAAATTTTTTTTCCTAGCTAGATAACTTTTAGCTTCTAGAATGATTAAAAATTTAAGATATGTGTTTAAAATTGACAGAGAAGTGCACTTTTTCTTATGCATTTTAATGATAATTATTTTTGTATTGCTATTATTTTTTTTAACTTCCCGACGCAACTTCTCTATATATTAACCACCATGTGCAAAAGAGATTTAAAGATTTTTATTGATTTAATGGTATAGAGTTTAAAAATAGTAATTTATTTTTTACTGAATTTTCAGTAAAAATAATTTCTGCTTTTTAACTCTTTATCACTAAATTAATTAAATTATAGTTAATTTATATAATAATTTGTTTAACTAATAATAGATGATCGATGACAGAGATGTATATTGGAATACTTTTTACGCTCTCATTTTTAGTGCTATTTAGTCAATTCAGTCAGATTTACACTCTGAAGAGAGACTTTGAATAGTCAAACGTTTTTCTTAGTAAACATAGTAGTAAAGAAGAAATTATTAAAAATTCTGCGTATGCTGTATCTTGGAACACGTCCAAAAGTACAGCATGCCTTACTGTCCCAAGGTACCATCACCATAAGGGCTTAAAAAATTCAAATTTGAAATCAATCCAAATGAATTCCTATATTGTTTTTTAAAATAAACCATTTAGAACGTGTCTCTTTCATAAACTAAATAAAATTCAGTTAATTAGTCAAAAAAATAAATAATTACAATTTATAAATAAAATGTTTTTAAACGATGGAATTTTTTACCCATCATCAAAACATTAATTAAAATCAATGAATTCTAACTTTCACTCTAAAGTAACGATTTGCTTAAAATAATAATTAGAAAAAGAAATAATTGTGTTGATGCAAATTGCGTTTGATAGATTTTATACGTCTCAAGGCACCATGCTTATTACATTTTCTTTAATAGAAAAATTTACGTACTTGATCTTCCGGTGAAAAGCTCGTGATAAAGGGAATGACAAAAATAGCTTTCCAATACATCGTGATTGATCCCTCCTTTGCTTTAATGAAATGGTTTTGTAGAAGTAAGGATTTTCCAGTAACTGTAAACGAAGCTCATTAAATATATGTTGATGAAACATAACTATTACAAATGAATAATCTCATAATTTATTTGATACAATTAAATTTTGAAGAAAAAGTTATGAAAATTAAAAAACTCTAATAGCGACGAACTGAATACTTTTGATATATTTGAAAAAGACTTTTCACTAACCAAAATTCTCAAATTTTTTTTATATGCTTTTAAAAATGTCTTTTGTGTAATTTTAGAGTCATTTCATTTTATATCGAAATAAGTAGGCACACATACACCGAACATCCATTACATTATGACCACCCTGCTAATAACATGTAGGACTACCTTCAGCCGCCCTCAAAGCTGCTAGCACCCACCGTGGCATTGATTCCACAAGGTGCTGATAGTTAGTCTAAGGTATCTGGTACCAAGCGCTCACCAACTGGTCCTTTAATTCCCTCACATTGCGAGGGGGTAGCGTGGCAGCACGAATTTGTTTTTCCAAGTAGGACACCAAATGCTCTATTGGATTAAGGTCAGGTGAATTTGGGGGCCATATCATGACTTGAAAGTCACTGGAATGTTCCTCGACGATTCGACCCTTATGACATGGTGCATTATCCTGTTGGTAAACACCATACTCCGCAGGAAAAAACTGTTGCCATGAATGGGTGAACCTGGTCTGCAACTATGTTCAAGTAGCTTAAAGACTTCAGAGATTGCTCTACCAGAATTATGGGTCCTAATGCGCCCCATGAAAACATTGTACCTGGGCGAGAAACCATGAAAACCTGGGAGAGCCCATTGTTATAGATGGAGGGGGTCATAATTTAATGGCTGTTCTTTGTATACTTGCGGTTGTAATTTGTAAAAAAATGTAAACTTATTTTTTACTCCATATATAAAGGTTTTTATCTTTAATATTTATTTATTACATATTCATAACCTGGAATAAATTTTTATTAGAGATTAAAATTAAAGGCTTCAAACTGAAAGGAATGATCCTTTATTAAAATATGAAATAATATCATGGTAATATTTTATTACACAACACTTTATGACAAACAGACTTTGTTTCCATTTAATGAATATTAATCGGCTATTAAGTTATTCAATTTATTCTTACTATATATTATTTAAAAGTTTCCCCAACATATGTAATTAAAGTAACAAAATATTAACCCCAGAAAAGGCGCGCTTGTTACAAATGTCATACTTTTCTCGATAGTATTCAAAGAAAATTACACTATTTTCTAATAAAATATTATTATTAATTCTGTCGAAATATTAGTTAAATGACAATTATCAACATTACAGTTATGATTAAAAATGAAAGATGAATGAATGAATTATATACGAATTAATGATGAATGAATTATATATCTATGATTTGAAATTTTTAAAATTTGAATTGAATTTTATTAACACCTATATTGGAAAGAAAGCATTTACATTTGATAACTCACTAAACTAAAATATAGATTTATAAATTAATAATAATAGGCCAAATTTAATTATTGTAACATTAGTAAGCCATAGAAAAACAGATAAATTTCATTGATATTTCAAATGACAAGTTGATGCCATGGCAAGCGATGAAAACACGCTCAACTTATCAAATCCGAACATACAGGAGAGTGTGTTTGGTTACATTCTAGAATTATATAGGATTAACATGATGGTAAAATTCAATGCAAATAAAGAAAATAAAGAGTAATTTCTTAAATTGGTGTGTGGTCAGTGATACAGAGTTGCAACAGCCGATCCAGAGAGGCCCCGCGTGCTTGCTCGTGGTGAAATTAAAATTGTAGAGAAGTATTAGGAATTACATTTTCAAGGAATTTGTAGGACGGACAGAACAGCACTTAACAAGTTTTTATAGTGGCCAAAAATACTTTCTCTTAGAATATTTTTGATACTTGAAAAAATATAGTAGTTGCTGGGCTTCCTCATAACATTTTGAAGCTGTCATCTATGTCAAGAAACTTCACTTTACTGTATTTAAAAACCACTTTGAAAGTTTTTTTGGCGTTTTCTAAAAGGAAAAAAACTGATTTTGATCAGAGTGTTCAGCATCATCGGTATTTTTACTACCTCTATTAAATTCAGCATTCCTGTTCATAGGAGTTGAATCTAATTATAGAATAAGTACGCTGGAGTAGAATCTCCAGCGTACTTTTCCAGCAGAGTCTCCAGCATACACTTATCAAGTCTCTGTTTGGTTTCGAACCTTTCTCATGCCCTTTTTAGCCATTTGCTATTTAATTGCAAAAGTCTTTCTTTATATAAAAGTTGAATCTTTTTTTTGCAAGCAGCTCAGCTGAATATTCTGTTTTTAAATTTCTAGTAATGTAAGAACAAATTCTCCAAGACAAATGTCAATATTAAACTAATAGTTTATACGTAAGAAATTATGATTTCGTAACTAAAAATTGTTGCTGGTAAAAAGTTCCGGCTTTCAGGCTGGTGGTACTTTTCTCTGTGAAATCCATTTTTACTATACAATTTTACGGAACCAAAAATATAATATACCATTATTTTTATAGTAACGTTTATTGCGTAATCATTGTGTCACTGCAATTAAATTAATATTACGGGAAGAATTGAGGTACAAAATGTTGTGAAAAAATGGATTTTACGGTAAATTGGCTTCCACGGATGATAAATACTTTTTATCCGGGGTGCAAATACTTTTTATCTTAATTTTATCTAGATTTTAATTCAATGTAGGACTCATTAAATAATTATGAAAGCCTTATTTGTTAAATTTGTAACTAAATATCATTATTATAAACAACTAAATTTATCAAATACTAACTTTGATGTACTGGAATCGAGCACGAAAAATACGATTCATTTAATATCTGCCCGATTCGAAAAATGCATTTGATTTAAAGTAAGTCTCAAAGCGTTAACTATGATTTCTTGCTGAAAAGCATACTAAGCAGGTATGGAAATAGACTTATAGATAATTTTACTACATCACGAATCAACAATTTATAATATTGAGTTTAACTCAAGAGTAGATTGAAAATATTAATATTTTATAAAATATTTTAACGAAATTCTATTATTGCATATTTTGAAAAAAAAACAGTAAAATCACTAGTAATTAACAGTAAAACTAATCATAATATCAAATAAATAAAAAGATTTTAGTTGAAAAAGTAATATTGTTACTTAAAATTAGGAAATAGTATTTCTTCATGTTTCTTAAAAATGCTTCTAGTCCAAAATCATGAAAACTCATTTACCTTTATGTGTGAAATGTAATCATTTGGTGGCTATACGCAAGTTTGACTCTCGACTGTATAATAAACTTCTGCCACTTGCTTTGGAAGTCGAGGAGAAGCTGAACACATTTCAACAGCTACTGATGTCGCATAAACTATTGGAGAAAGAACAAAAAACTGCTTCGTTAAATTTTTTATCAAACTCCTTTTAAAATTAAAAGAACATGCGATATCATATATTAAGCATTGTCCATTACATCTCATAATTGGAAATGATATCGATCTAAAAAAAGCGAAATTAATCAAAAAATTTGTTGTTTGACAATAAGTTGTACATTTGCGAATAAGCGAAGATAATCAGTTATTTGTTTTAAAATTGAGTTAATGGTTCTTGTTTGTTGATGCAGAGGAGAATATTTATATTTATTCTTTCATTTTAGTAAAAATTTATTTACGTATAAATTTATTTAATTATAATTTACATTAAACTAAAGATTAAGATAAGTTTTCAATAAAATAAAGTTTGTTCTTTGTTCCATGATTACGAATTTTCCAAGATGGCTAGAACAGAATAGAACATTAACTGAACAGGACAAATTAGAAATATTTTCTTACTTCTACCACCATCTTTCTTTCCCCAGCTTTTCATGTTTTGTTTCCCCATTATTTCCATTTATGTTTGTTTTGTTTCTAACTGTGAGTTTTTATTTCTCATAATTTATTTTGTTTAAACATTCGAGTGTCTTCTGCACAATTCGAATGCACAATACAAGTCGAAAACTTATTTTCTTAATAATAAGTAAATAATTAAAAATATGTTAGTCGAATAATAAGTTGACAAGTCTAAAATCTTGTTTAATAAGAAAATTTAGTTGACAAAATCTTTATTTTTCAGTTTCTTTGGAATATTTAATTTAGTTTATAAAAAGTTAATATAGTTCTTACCTTCAATATCACTAGGTAGAGGAATGATATCTGGACTTTTTTCGTTGCCATCGACTAAGCTATCATTTGGATCTTTTTTTAACGGTGATGGATATCTGCGAGAGAAACAATTTAAAAAGAGTTTACAGACAAAATTTAAATCCAAATCTTTGAAATCTTGTAGTAAAATTTTGGAAGAAATAAATATATTAAAAATAAAATTCATGATTACCAAATGCCATTGTAAATTTGCAATAAAAATTTAATCTGAATTAAACAAATTGAAGAAATGATTTTTTTTATTGTTTGCTTCCTAGTTATTCGAATATAGTTAAAATTTGAAATGAAGGAATTTCAAAATAACGACAATATTTCTGTAAACTTTTAAGCATATTATTTAGCAAAAAAACGTTATATTAATAAATACATATGCAATAAAATATGGTTTCTTACTATGTGATAAAATTTAGCAAATGTGGAAAGATTAGAAAATTTTATAAAAACTATTTATTCGGTTAGATTTATTATCTTCTTACTATTCTTTTACTAAATGTGCTGTAATAAGAATTATAATTTCGGAAAGCAGAATTTCAGCAAATTATTGCCATATGAAAGGAAAAATTATCAAATGAATGCTTTAAAAACGCATATTTTGGATCTATAATCAAAATGACTTTTTTTTTTAACCAGAAATATCATTACGATACAATACTGTAATTTTACCAGAATTCTTTTGTTCGTATACAAGCCTGTTATAGTTACCAGTAATCTTCTCAGTCAATAAACCTTCAAATAAGTTAAATCGAAATTGAAGTTATATAGTTTCTTCAATTGAAAAAAAACGAATGTATTGTTAAAAATAAGCAAATTAGTAAAATAAAAAAATATAAAATCATTTTTATGGAACAAGTTATTTGATCAATTTTGTTAACTATTAAAGCAATTGTAAAGCAAATCATTTCAGGATAAAATTTAATTCAACTCATTTTACAACAGTTCAGATAACTTAGTTCAGGTCTAAGAATTATAAATCTACTTAGGTTTTGGTTAGTTTTGTTTATATTAATTTGGATACATTAGTGCTTAAATTGTAGTACATAAATTCTGATGAATAGCTGCATGTATGACTCTCTCAAAATAAAACAACATTTGTATAAAAAGGTTATTTAAATTCCAAAGTTAAAATTAGAAAAATCTCTTGCGAATACTATTTCAAAGATTTTCTAAACAAAAACTTTATTTCAAAGCAAACTTTTTTCTTTTTATTAACTCTTTCATGCAAAAACTATCCCCCTTTGACAACAGTTCTGTTATTAGTTTCTCTCTCTTTCTATTTTTATCTTGCATTCTTTCTTTTTACAGAGATTCACAATAAAAACAATTTTCTTTCAGCAAAACTATGCCAAATATTTATGATAAGCGCAAAAAAAAAACTCGCCACTCTGAAGCAAACGAAATTGCAAAATGATGACCAAAAAAAACGAAATCACAGTTCCCATTATGTCGTTTTAGATCATTTGATGCAATCCCGATAGTTCTTTCACCAGATACTCCCTGAGATAGATTGAGTTGATGCGTTCAAAAAATATATCTGTGTTTCAGAAAAGGGGTATTAAAGGTTATAAAGCATAATATCCTTTCCACAAAACTCAACTTCCGCGCCATAATTGAAGTTGACACACAAAGGTAGAGACCATCAAATGATCTCATTTCCTTCGTACCCAGGAGTGATGCCCGGAATCGGAAGCAATCCCACACCCTCTAAATTGAGAAGCAACACAATGGAAACGGCTACTAAGATAGGAAATATACTATCTTTTTCGCTTTTTATTTCCTTCGCACGCTTATAAATTTTTCTCAATAATCAAACTAATGAAGATAATAAGAAGTGACTACAGCAACAATGCACACTGAGAAGAAAAAGTACGATCAAAACTTACAGAATATAGTAACATTTACCGAGCTTTGGGTCATTGGGAAGTCTGATCGTAACACTACAATTATTTTGGTGAAATTAAAATTAAAATATGGTATTTCAATATGTGATGAAGTTTGATAAATGGGGCAAAATTTGGAAATTTTAGCATAATGCCAACGAACAACCATTTATTCGATTAAATTTAATCACTGAGAAGAAAAAGTACGATCAAAACTTACAGAAAATAGTAACATTTACCGAGCTTTGGCTCATCGGGAAGTCTGGTCGTAGCACTATAATTATTTTGGTAAAATTAAAAATAAAATAGTGTATTATAATGTGTGATAAAGTTTGATGAATGAGGCAAAATTTGGTAATTTTAGCATAATGCCTCCACACGTATCATAAGAACCATTTATTCGATTAAATTTAAGTACGATTAAATTTAAGCACTGCAAAACTTACAGAATATAGCAACATTTACCGAGCTTTGGCTCACTGGGAAGTCTGGTCGTAGCACTATAATTATTTTGGCAAAATTAAAATTAAAATATTGTTTTATAATATGTGATAAAGTTTGATAAATGAGGCAAATTTAGTAATTTTATCATAATGCCTCCAAACGTATCATAAGAATCATTTTTTCGATTAAATTTAAGACGATTAAATTTAAGCACTGAGAAGAAGTACGATCAAAACTTAGAGAATATAGTAACATTTACCGAGCTTTGGCTCATTGGGAAGTCTGGTCGCAGCACTATCATTATTTTGGAAATATTAAAATTAAAATATTGTATTATAATATGCGATAAAGTTTGATAAATGAGGCAAAATTTGGTAATTTTATCATAATGCCTCCAAACGTATCATAAGAATCATTTATTCGATTGAATTTAAGTACGATTAAATTTAAGCACTGAGAAGAAAAAGTACGATCGAAACTTACAGAATATAGTAACATTTTCCAAGCTTTGGCTCATTGGGAAGTCTGGTCGTAGCACCATATTTATTTTGGTAAAATTATAATTAAAATATTGTATTATAATATGTGATAAAGTTTGATAAATGTGGAAATTTTTTCATAATGCCTCCAAACGTATCATTAGAACCATTTATTCGATTAAATTTAATTTGCAGTTTTTTATCTTTATTTTTTTTGCATTTTTCGTTGGTAACTTTGTATTTTGTATTTCAAATCACTTACGTTTCTTCGAAATCGCGTCTGAGAAATTTCAAAAATGAGTGCCTGTTTTTGAGTGTTTGAAACATGTCGATTGTCATTTATAATCAGTATATTTTTGAAGCGAATAAAATTTTTAATACATTTTAACCTTTGCATGCTTATAAATTTCCTTTAAATGCTTATAAATTTCTTCTGCATGCTTATAATTTTTTTTTCAATAATCAAACTAATAAAAATAATAAGAACAGCAGCGAGTCACACTGAGGAAAGAAAATATGGTCAAAACTATGAGAAGATAATAACATTTACTGCGTTTTTGGCTCATTAGGAATTCTGGCTGTATTGATTTGGTAATTAATTTGGTTTAAATAACGGTAAAATATAGTTGAAACGTGATAATTAATGTGTGATAAAATTTGGTAATTTTATCATGACACTTTAGAGTATTAGTTTAGACCACAAAAATTATTTATTCATTTAAACTATTACTTTATTACTTTCTTTTCGGTTTTGTATTTTTCTTTAAATATGACAAGAAAACTATAATTTTGAAAACCAGAGTTTTCATCCAACGGAAACATAAGAACGGAAAATTTTTAAATAAATAAACAAAGATTATGAATTTGAAATTAATGTTTAGTAATTAAAACTTAGACTGAGAAAAAAAGTATGGTCAACTATGCCGGAATATGGTAAAATTTACCGCGCCTCTGACTCAATGGGAACACCAAAACCCTTGGTAATATTTACCGTAAAGCTTTGATAGTTATTTAATTGAATTTAACTATAAAATATGATTTTATAATATGTGATATAGTTTGATAAATGTCGGAAAGTTTCATAACTTTTCCATGACACCTTATAGCACGGCATAAGAAGCATTAATTCGGTAAAATTTACCTTTCAGTTTCATGGAAAAATTTTTTTCAGGGATTAACTAAACAAAGTCAGAACACATTCAAATGACCTTATAATGGTTAAAAACTAACTGTATTAAATGTAAGTAAAATAACGTGAACATGTATTAGAGTATAGCAGAGTTTCCAGTGCTCTGCGAACTGGTAAGATTAAATTGTTTAAGGATAAAAATTACGGTTAAAAAATAGTGCACGGAGCTAAAAATTATAAAGTTACAAANTAGTAATTAAAACTTAGACTGAGAAAAAAAAGTATGGTTAACTATGCCGGAATATGGTAAAATTTACCGCGTCTCTGACTCAATGGGAACACCAAAACCCTTGGTAATATTTACCGTAAAGCTTTGATAGTTATTTAATTGAATTTAACTATAAAATATAATTTTATACTATGTGATATAGTTTGATAAATGTCGGAAAGTTTGATAATTTTTCCATGACACCTTATAGCACGGCATAAGAAGCATTTGTTCGGTAAAATTTACCTTTCAGTTTCATGGAAAAATCATTTTCAGGCATTAACTAAACAAAGTCAAAACACACTCAAATGACCTTATAATGGTTAAAAACTAACTGTATAAATGCAAGTAAAATAACGTGAACATGTATTAGAGTATAGCAGACTTACCAGTTCTTTGCGAACTTGTAAGATTAAATTGTTTAAGAATAAAAATTATGGTTAAAAAATAGTGCACGGGGCAAAAAATTATAAAGTTACAAACCTATTACAAATATGTAAGTATCAGCTTGTCTATATTACTGTTTATCAAATAACACCAATAACACCGAAACTACAAAATAAAAAAAATAGTCAATGTTTTAAATTAAATTTATAACTTTTATTTTTTTTCATGGCCATTTACGTGATATATATATATATATTTATATATATATATTGTTTCATAGTTTAACTCATAGTCGTTCATATAAAAAAAACATCAGTTTCATAACACTAGCCACATATCCATCTAGTATGAATTTGATAGTTTCGTAGTTTAACTTTTGCGCCATGCTAATTTTCTTGAGCACTTTATATGTTTTTCTAAAAGCTATGAAGTCGAACTTAAGAAGAATAAGCTGCTTTATTGCTTTGTTTTG